ACTTTTTATCAACAACTCTCAGTCATCCCATACTTAAACCTTCAAGTGCAGGTTATCAAGTTCTTTCAATCTGGTCACTGAAACTAAATACAGACTGGGCGGTGATGCTGTTTGTGGCTAGTTCCCCTCTTCAGTGAGGCGATGCTCACCCTCTTCTGGAGTGAGTTTGTAGTTGTGTAGTTTTCTATCCATTGTTGTCATTAGGTATTCAGTTGGGCTTGGTGGTTTGACATACCTTTTATCAATTCAATATAGCTTGAGGTTTTTGTAATACTTCCCAAAGAACTCCAGTTATTGAGTAGTATAGAAGAGCGGCAGTAAATACGTATTGAAAAGCAACAATGTGAAGAAAAGCAAAAAAGCAGCAAAATAAATAGTAAACAGTATAAATTAAAAATAAAGGTAAAACATTGAAAGAATCATAACACAGGGCACTTGTATTTATTGTACATTGGTCTGGAAACATAGTATTCCCTCCAGGGAGCAGCAGGGGGAAAGGTGGTTACAAACTAACTTCCAGACTTGTGATTTATCATCTGTGGAGGGAATGGGAAAATTCCCCAATGCTGGTAACAGCGGGTAATATTTGCAACTTTCCACATTAATCTAAAACCGTGAAAAGGGAAGCTCATTAAGCTTATGCTTAATCAAGATGTACAAAACTGCCAGAATTCAGTGTAATTCCAAATGCCAGACGTGAATAGAAGTAAGTGAAACGGCGAAATTAAGTTAAGCAGTTTCATTAGTATAAATAAGGACCAAAGCTTTGAAAGAGAAAAAAAAAAAAACAACAACTTAATTTTGTCCCTTTAATTCTGAAGCTAAACCCACAAAGAGGTCCAGTTTAAGCACTGTGATCCAAATTGGACCCCCCACACACACCAGTTTCCTGTAAAAACAAAAAAACCATTCTGCAGTTCCTATCTGGCCTCCCCACTTCCAAAGACACTGTTTGCTATTCACCAATGAATGGATCCTATTGATGCCACCAGTGAGTGGATACTTATGCGACTATCTGATCTGCTTTTGTTGAAGTTTATTCTGCTTCATGGAAATCAGTATTCTCCCCCTCCCCCAGACACAAACACACACACTTGATATATATGCATTAAAATTGATATATTCAAATCTGTGAAGGTTTCTTTTCTAGCTTTTGTTGAAATGCTGCTTTAAAAGAGTTAAAACCAACTAAACGTAAATAGATGGTACCTTTGGAGTAAACAATAGCTGAACAGTGGTTAAGGATGCAGTGCTGTATCAGGCTCCCATGGCTGCTTAACTGTGCTTGGCAACATAATTCGTCTCTCAGTGGAACAGGAAAGATGGTGGGTAAGGGAAAACGGGCTCTCTGAGCGTGCTCACTTTTCTCTTTAATGGCAGCGATTTTCACCATTTAGTATCCTGATTGTAATCCGTTAATTCATACCCAGTTTTGCTCTTCTAACAGAGTTCTTTGAAAGAAAGGTGACAAGAGAGCAGCACTTACCATTTCCGCTAATGATAAATACAAAAACATTCCGGCTGTAACAGTAAATATCCAGTTTTGAATGCGAGGATCTGTCGATATTGAAAGGCCAATGTAGAGTCCTATGAAAGCTGTTAGGGCACTTAAGAAGTTCATTAAAATGGCAATCTTTGAAGAAAGCCCCGTACTTAACAGCACTGCGAAATCTCCTGGTGAGAGGGAGGAAAGCAAGACATCAAATATTAATTGGTTGATAAAACAGTGGTAGCATTTTCATATTCCAGTTGCCACAGTTAAGATGGAGTTTTGCATGCAACCTGTTACAGTACTTCCATATGTAGACACTGAAATCACCTTCAGGCTTCTCTTTAAATGCTTGATGAGAATGTCTAATCTGACATGAACCCAGAATGAGGTAGCAGGTAAGGCATTTCTTCAATGAATGAGCAGTTTAACCAGACAGTAGGTAGATTCGAGACCCAACTTAAATGGGGGACAGTGGTGCTCTTCAGATGGTCATATTATGCCTTCATTTCTAAATATGATGAACCAGCCCTTCTGCCCTTCCCCAAGAGGAAGGGGGGGGGGCAGTTTGAACTGTAAACAATGCACATTCTAAACGGAAGGAAATATTATACACTTCATGCAGTCCTTAGTGCTTCTCTTTTATCAGCCCTTGGCTCGGCAACCCCTATATGGGTTCTCATGAGTAGCTCTCAAGGCTGATTCATCATTCATTTGAAAACCAGCCTTATGGCATGTCTTCCACATGCCACCCTTGCTTGCAAAGCACCATCCCTTGAGAATGCAATTGGTGAAAAGGCGGTAACCATTAATGATTGCTTTAAAAATGCAAAAAAGTACAGAAGAGGAGGAGGAGAATACACTAATGTTGATCTGAGTACATGTGCATGACCTTGAAGAAGAAGCAGGCATAGTTATGACCATTATAGAAACCCATAATGTTGCTTACCCATCTCATGGGGAATTTCATGGCATAGTATAGCAATGGTTGTGGTTGTGCCCATTTCTGTTGATGATGAAAACGCTGCACCGATGACCAAGCCATCAGCAAAATTGTGAAGACTGTCACCCACCAGCACCATGATCGCTAACAAGCCAATTGTTTGCCCTAGAAGAATTGGAGCCAGAGTAAGTGCACATATTGTATCAGCACATCTTCTCCCTGTAAATCCAACCTGTATCAATTCTTTATTTCTTTCTTAGATTTGTACCCCGCTTTTTCTTTTTTAAAGAACTTGCATTATTCTCCTCATGCTGCTCTCAATCTTATCACCACAACAACCCTGTGAGATAGGTTGGACCGAGACTGGCCAAAAGGCACTCAGTTGGCTCCATGGCTGAGCCTTTTGTTAATTTGCTTGTTCAATTTATATCACACCTTTCTAAACAGTGCTCAAAGCTTCTTATCAGCAAAATACATATTAAACTAAATACAAAGTAGTAATTGAAAATATTCAAAGGAATGAATAATCAGGATTGTTTTGTCTTAAAGTTTTTTGAAGTATAAGAGAAAAAAGATTAACATCCATGAGCACACTTTTAAAAAACTTTGCCTTCTGTAATACACACATTGTCTAAAATATTTTATTTACTTATTATTTCAGGTCTGTACTACCCAGTAGTATAACACTTCATTCAAAAGAGGCTCTACACTAAAATATGACAAAAAAACCAAATTACAAAAAAAACTTAAAAATTACAAAAAATGTTTTGTACAAATTACAAAATTACAAAAATTACAAAAATTAAAAATAGCTGCAATAGCATACGAAACAGAGTAGAGCTATAGAGCACTTAGGGGGCTAGTGACTTCAAATAATTCAATAGCTTAGGATGTCTTTAAATGCCTTTGCATAGGAGGCCCACAGAGCCAGTTACCAAAAGGATGTCAAAGTTCAGTGAGATCATCTGACAGTTGGGGAGCTACCACTGAGAAGGCCCTTCCCCTTGCTGCTGCCCTCTGTCTTGGTGCTTGGAAGAAGGCCTTGAATGCTGGCCATAGTGCCTATGTAAATTGCAGTGGGGGGAGACTCTTTATCAAGTATTGTCTTCCCCAGCTGTGTAAGGCTTTACAGGTTAAAACTAGCACTAGCCTGTGCAGGTGGCCCAGACCTGGTCTTACCTTCATACAGGGGTTGGGATGAGCCCATTGAATCCATTCCTCCAAGCATTTGTGAGCAGCCCAGCCGCCCGAAGCAAACAGGGCAGAGAGGAAGTCTGCACGCACTCACGGAGCCCTGGTGGCACAGCTGGCAACCTTCCTCCATGTCCGCTGGAGCTGCCCAAAGGGTGCAGGAGGTGCACTGTTTGGGCGCAGTTCCTGGGCAGCATCCTGCACCTGCCGGGCAAGCTTACCAGGCATTCAGCTTCTGGGCTGCTGCAAAGCCCACTGGAGCCCAAGGAGCCGAGCTCAGAGTATCTGATGGATTCCCACCCCCAGATGGATTCCTCACTCATCCCAACCATTAGCCTGGCTGCTGCTCCATCATTCTAGCGCTACCACATGTGCACTAAGGTACCACAAATGCATTCATGTTCAGCATTATGACATGAATGGAATTGGCTTCAGGCATTTCTTACTCTGATTGATTGAACACAATGCATGTCCTTCTTCTTAGCCCAAAATGGGCCCACAGTGAGTTTTGTGAAAAACAAAAACACAAATCGAATCAGTTTAAACCATTCACAACAAAAGCAGAGTGCCACCAGAAAACTCTAGCTCTGAAATATTCCTGTCCAGGGAACTCAGTTTTTAAAGTGTATTTAAAAATGGATGATGAAGGCAAACAGGAGCTTCCATGTTAAAAGAACTTCACAACATCAGTGCCACCACGAAAAAGGCTCTGTTGTGTGCTGCCAGCCACCCTACACCTCAAGTGGAGGTACAGCAAAGAGGAGAGGATTTGAGTCATTTTACTTTCTAAGAGATATCACTGCAAAATGTTAGATAATTACAGGACGTTTCCAGCAACAGTGCAAGATGCGGAGTGAGCCATTGCTGAGGTTTTATTGAAAGATTTTTTTAACTAGACAGCTGATTTGAGATGAGGGAAATATTATTTCTTCCATAACTGAAAACTTTTAGATGTTGCTGCTGCTGCTGCTGTTAAAAGACTAACGAATAATACTATAATAATATAACCACTAGAAAATTCTCCTTAGTTGCCTGGGAGTTCTTTGAGCTCAGCAATATTGGCAGGCTGGCAAGATTTCCCTGCCAACTTACAGAACTCAACCTAGATGCCCCCAGCTTGAGCAGCTCCTTCAAAAACATGAAAGGCACATTACAGGGCACAACAAGAGTAGCCCAGAAATAAGAGGACTGCTCTGCCACATTCCTTTTGCAAATGTCCTGGCTGGAATCTCAGCACTGTGCACATTGTGCTGCTACCCCTGTTTATATACATAATGGCTGTAGGAAAAGAACAGAATGGCCTCAAACTGCATACTTCAGTAAGGCGGCTATTGCAAGTGTTGGATACTATAGCAAAAGCAGACGAGATGGAACGCAGATAAATTATTTTCAGTGCTACTAGTGCCTTGGCTAAGGCATTCCAGCTGAGGAAGCCAGAAATAACTCCCATCACTGGCCAATGCTGCACTATTAATGAGAAGCTGCTCTATTCCATACACGCTTACTATAAACAGCTTCTTCTAGTGGAAAATACCAGTAAATACCACTTGCTGCAGATGGAAATGGCTGAGGCATTGTTTCTTTAGCTGGTAAAGATGAAACTGGATTACTGAAGCCAGTGCAAGGGAAGTGCGTTCAATCAGATTCAGAGGCAACAAATGCTGCTGTTGGACTGGGTGGCCATTTACCTGTTGCCAAAAAGAGGAAATGCCTCACCAAAAAGGAGAGCATTGATCTCCATTACATTTGCATGTGAGGATTTGTATATATTGGCACACGTTTGGAGATAATTGCTCTCATTTCAATAGGCATATAATACATGTCATCATAAGGGACAATATTGGGAGCAGCTGTGTATTGCTCAATCTCTTGGCTATGTGCAAACAGCTGATCAGCAGCTTTAGGGCCCCTGATGCTCAGGGGCTCTTTATCTTTAGACTAGACTTGAAGAGGGCAGTTCTTCAAACAGAGGATTGTCCTATGTAAAAGAGGACACATAGCCTCACTAGGTGGTAAAGTGCAGGTGATCTTCTTAACAATCCCAACGCCATTCCCCCAAGGAAAATCCAAAAAAGCAGGCAGCTGAATTGATCTATACCAACAAACAAACTCCGGTAGTTTTCATATCTATCAGGAACAGGTACATTGTAAAGTCAGTGGGTCTCAGTGGCCCATTCAAGATCAACCACATGCCAAAATACTTTACAATATAGCAGGGAACAGTACATTGTTTCTTGGAAGTGTTATTTCCTTTCAGCTACTGTGAGGATTGCAGCAGCTAAATAAGGAACACAGAAATTGGAAAAGGGAGAAAAGTAGGGTTGCAATAACCGTCCACAGAATCTGGCCCTATTATCTGCATCAGACTTCTTCTTGTGCTTGGCCCTTCCTTAGGAAGTGAGCTGAACCCAGAGGAAGTCTGGGAACACTTGTAGAACTGCAGCCATGCAACTGACAACTGCAACACAAAGAAAACACCAAAGAGGGATGCTGCTTGCACAGCATTTGCATTGGCTTGCCTCCTGGTGAGCACCCATGCAAATGCTCAGCATGCTCCGTGCCAAGCTGGACTTATAGCTACAAGAAAGTAGGGAAAGCAGGCAGGGTCAGAAGGGAGGTACGTTCCAAGAATGCTGGCCAATTGAGTGGCTTCTGGCATTCCTGCTGTTTAGCCCACAAGAAGTAGGAACCTCCCTGAGGGTGGAGCTAACCCCATTTGCTTGGAAAGAGAGGAATTAAGTTTCTTGGCATAAGCCAAAATCTCCCTCATTATTTGGCTTCCTAACTTGATTGATGTCCTGACTGATGCCTTCTAAAGACCTCTAAGGAACTCCCTTTTGTATTGCAAAGGCAGTATGGCTGGCTCACTTTAACATAATGAAAACTGTATTTATAACCATCTTGTTCTGATCTGCTTGGAATAAGAAAGGGGAAGGGTACAGAGTGGTCTTCCATACTTGTCCAGGAGGCCACAAAAAATGAACCGGCCCTGCATATTAACATTACATTGAACAAGAAAGGGAAAGAAAACCCAAAGTGGACACATGCTGTCCATCAAAGACTGGATCCAACTTCTTTCCAGGCCAGTGGGAATGGAGGTCTGTCAAACAGCCACATTTGGAAAAGGATACGGAATTACACTACACCTTAAACAAACCAATTGCATGATTCTGAGCTGCTTGTACAATGGCTCTTGAGAGGAGAAGCTGAACCAATCCCTTTCTCTAAGGACTAGGGTTAGAGTTAGGGCAGTAAAATGTCAACACTGCCCATGGAAAAATGAAATGAAACAAAATGAAACGAGACCAGACCAGACCAGACCAGACCAGACCAGACCAAACCAAACCAAACCAAACCAAACCAAACCAAACCAAACCAAACCACACACCTATCTTCTCAATGCCAATGCAGATGATAAGAAACAAACAGAAGATATTTTGACATAATCATCCTCAATACCAGCACAATTAGATTTGAGCGAATGACTGTACCATGAGATATGTTTTCTATTATTACTATTATTAGAGTGTGATGACTGAAGAGCAAAGTAACATCCAGAGATGGATTAAGATAATAGCACAGAAATTAGCACTGAAGAAAAAGGTAGCATTATGCCCTGCAATGGAAACTAAGCCCATTATATTAAATAATTGTATCAACGGGTATTTAGAAGGCAAGGGCACTACCAAAGCAACTAGAGGTCATGTTCTGAAATTCTCTAGATAAAAGGTGATTAAAAGGGCAAGACATATTTATGAGATGCAGTCCAACAACTATGTTCTTCCCAGTGGGCTCAGTAAATCCATGGTTGTTTATCTGCTTATTGCAAGCATTCGCAGAACCCTGTTCTATTGGTTCTTAGACTTTCAGAGCAGATCACAATGTATACCATGCTCAGTCCTAGATGCACGTGCCTACGTGGCTGAGCATCCTACACGTGCTCTGCTCTCACATGTGGAATGCCACATGTCCAACACCTGAAAATGACCGCTAGCAGCTGGATTCAGGATCTGCTTCCCACTGTTGGAAAGACTTTGCTCATGCAAGGTGCCATTGCTTGATTCGTAGGGACCCTGCTTCCCACACACTACAGTTCATCCTATTCAAAAGGTCCCCCAACCAATCACATTTTCAAAAGGCTACGGAGGGGAAGGGTGGCACAGGCAAACCCATCTCTGCCAGACCACTGGCAAATAATAATCAGACACTCAGGCAAGCAGGCAGGCAAGCAAGCAAAGGGAATGGCAGTTCTAAGCATGAAACAAAATGAAAGTATACATTAGTGTACTATAGATCAATATGATTCATTGCACAGACACAGGGAATATAAGCATTCCTCATGAAAGTTGTTTAAAATCCCAAGCCTAAACTTACCAGGAAGTAAGCTCCATTAGAGACAATGGAACTTATTCCACATCAAAATGCATACACTTCTGTTGTAAGACTATCATGCTGAACCTCTGAAATATGTATTTAATTTTGCTCCTGAGTTTAAAAGTGTCTGCATTTTACTCTGAGGTCTAAAGGAGTTACTTCACCCCTGGACCAGTGAAAAATAGCTGGCTTCTGCTGCCGGAGCTGCACTCCAAAGCATCCACACCAACCATCACACTGGGGCTAACGGGGGTGGAATTCCACAGGGCTCTGCTTTCCCTTGGCTACCCCTTTTTGAAAGTAGCTGTTCTGACTGACCAGCTGTTCTGATAAATGCCACCCATGACCCCCAACATAAGGCATGCTTGGCAAAACATGTAATCAAACATGAAAAATTCTTCACGCGTTTTGGTAGTAACTGTGGGGGTTTTGCTTCAGCTAAATGTTTCCTCAAATCTTATTTGCTATATTTGGAGAATATACGCTATAGCAAAGGCACTCCAATAAAGTTCATTATTATAAGACTGCTTGGATGGCAACAAATATTTAAGGATGGGTTTAATTAGTCCGGCATTGAATATGGGATTAGGTCCAACGGCTTTATTGGCCCCTTCCAACTCTACCATTCTAGGATTTTATGATATAATTATGTGGGACAAAGGCAGCAGGGAATGAACAGCAACCCACACATATTACTGGCAAGTCCATCTCAAGCTTTAGAAGAGGTCCTGGTAATAATTTTGCCTGTATTACTTTTTTCTCTGTTTCTCTTTTAGTACTTACGTTTCTTGCTGACTCCCTTCTTGTCTGCAGAAATTTCAGGAGAAATAGAATCCTCGGCGTTGTGCTAACAGAATTAAGAAAATAATAGATCATTGTGAATGCTTGGTTATTTCCTTCTTATTCTGTTTTTAATCTATTTATATTTCAAAATTATTTATGCTCATTTTTAAGGGAACACAAAGCAATCATGTAGAGATTGTCATTGATGTAATTTGATCCATGAAGATTAGGGCTAGAATAATAGCAAGTAGGTTCCTGGAAAATTAAGTACGTTCCTTGAAAAATACTATTATTGCATTACAAGGAACCCAAAGCTGCTCCAAAGGTTCTCCTTCTCACCATTATCATTGCAACAACTCTGTGATAATAATGCAAAACAAAACCATCTAGCTTCAGAAATACTCCAGTGCAATAATTTCAGCTAAATAATGGTAAGTTCAATTAAAATGCACCCTACTAAAAATTACAGAAACAAATAGATCTTCACGGCTTTCTTTAAAGTCTTATTAGAAGGGTCTCGCATAAGCCAAATGGATGAGAAGCCACTGCAGAAACGGCTCTTTCCTAAAGCAACTGTTCTCCTTGGCCATATTTGTATGTCTGCATTTTTGTATGCAACAGGTCTTACAGCAGAGATGGGCAAAGGTTACTCATGTGAATACTGCCAGACTTGAAATCCCATCATACCACTTCAAGGCCGTGCAGGCTAGGACTACCAGGAGCTCAACGCCAACAACACGGCAGAGAGGATGGTGTCACGCATCCCTTGCCCTTGTCTTACAGTTTAACGACTATATAATTTTACTGATCATGGAAAGAATCATGAAGTTAATTAAAGATAGCATGAATATATCTATTCAGTGGGTGACTCAACCTTAACTCAAATTATATTTTACAACATTTAATCTCCTCTAGTGTTTGCAGAAATTAAGGAGGAAGAACAAAACTGAATGACACTTACGTGTTCATGTGGTGACACCAAAAGGACAAACCCTTTTTCAATCAGGAAGAAAGCATGGATTCCTCCAATCAAAGCCAACATCTTCCATATATGTGCTTTACCTTCATATAGATCCTCAGACTCTTGAAGATCATGTGTATGCAAACCAAGAACCTAGAGATGAAGCAAGCCGATAATTATCTTGGGATTTGTTGCAATGTTTCACTCAGGTCCCTGTAATAACAAATGCAATGAAAATTCCGACTCAAAGAAATCAGCAAGTGTTCAGGAGCCCAGTCATACACAGAAACAACCGAATGTCGGGTGGTACATTGAGCAGCCGCTGAAGACAGGATGGGTCCTGTTATCAAGGGAACAGCAAAAGATCTAAATAACCTACGAGGGCCTCTGCAGCATGCAAGAAGCACAGAGACAACCTCAGCCTCCACTCTGCTCCCATGATCAGTATGATGCCCTTAATCCTTTGAGGATTATGGGAAGCCACATTGGATTATATTGCCCATTGTTTGTTTGCATATACATTATTAGTACATTAAAATGGTTGATTGTATGGAATTTGTTTTCATAATTAGGGATGCAATTCTAAAGACACAGTCCTGGGAGCAAGACCACTGAATGCAAAGGGATTACTTCTGAAAAGGCATGCAAAGGATTTCACTGCAGAGTAGCCTTTTTTCCCTTGATATAGTACTTAGGAGACAGGGAAGATTGTTTTCCTTTGTGTGTCATGTTTTTGGCACATTTCTGATAATCAAACAACAAACCATGTCTTGGTTTATCGTAAAAATCCATTAAATCATAAGATATTTGCCTCTAAGGGATAAAGGTGCATCATTATATTGTAGAATGATTTTCTGTTTTACAGGCATTCATTAATTGCATGAATAGTGTTCCTCCAATGATTCTAGATTAAAAACTAAAGGCAACACTGAAAAAGCACTTACAGGAATTACTATCCTGAAACATCCTTAATCAATGCTGCGTGTGGCTCCTAGAGATGGACATGCCAGCCCTTTCCCTTAACTTGCAGTAATGTTATACTGGCCTCATCATTGTACACCAACAATACATGCAGATAGATTTGCCATTTTAAAGCTCAGTGTCAGGTTGCCAGGTAACAATCTTCTAATTACACAGCAGAATGAATGAAAGAGAAATTGTATTAGTGTGGTTTCATGAACACACAAGTGGTGCAGGGAGATTTCTCCCAGTGGGGGGCCTCAGTGAATTGGGGCATTGCAGGCTGGACCTCCATTCGGCAGACTGAGGTAACTGGCGGGTGGGAAGCAGTGGGAAGTGTCTGGAGGCAACTTGTGTGTGTCAGTCAGTCCTCTCTGCATCCTCCGAGCTTGCCTGTGACCCTCGCATGCAGTGGAGAGTGCTGTTCCACTGCCCAGCTGAGATTCAGCTATCAATTCTGTCTGTACCTGTGCATGGAATAAACACACCATCTTGCTCTTTTCTTCAGGCAGCAGAACCTCTTGGTTTAGGTCTGTGGTGGTGTTGAGTACAGAATGAGAAACAAGAACTAGGAAGGTATTGGTAGTAGGGTATAACCTTTGATGGACCATATCAAATATGGACAACCCAGATTCAGGGTGGACATCAGGAAAAGCTTCCTCACTGTCAGAACAATACAACAGTGGAACCAGCTGCCTGGAGAGGTGGCGGACTCTCCCGCACTAGAGACATTCAGAAAGCAACTGGACAGCCATCTGAGTGGGATGGTGGAACTTGGTGTCCTGAAACAGCAGGTAGTTGGACTCGGTGGCCTTCATGGCCCCTTCTGACTCTACTATTCTAATGATTCTATGAAATAGAAACTTTACTTGGGAGAAAGAAGATTGCACAGATGAAAGAACCTCTCTTTGGGATAGTTTTTCTCATGAGGCATTTTCTGCTGGGTCATAAGCAGTCTTGACATGAGTGGAAGAGACTTTCTACCAATGGAAGATCACCTTTGCATTAAAGCTAAAGGTGGGCGATTTGACGGAAGGGCATGACACCCATGGAAATTTGAGAAACTGACCTGGGCATAACAGTAAAAAAGCTGCCCAGAGGCTTTAATGGGAAATGAAGCTGGCAACAGATAGAGGCTCCCACCTTGTTTTGAAGCAATCCAGCCACCAGTAAGGAAATATAAAATAGTTTTAACATAGACATGGGAGGCACAGAGAATCTGAGTTGGAGCCAGGAAAGATGTCTGGGCGCACTGGAGCCCATGAGCACTGTTTTGCCTGACTCTGATTTAATCCATAATCTGGAGCAGACTTATTGCAGTGAGTCTCGAGTAAGTTAGAAGCAGAATTTCCTAGAATGGCTGTGGCCAAAAAAAGACTCTTTGGTTCCTTGCCTTGTTTTATTGATATCTCTGTGGATACAAAAGATGCTACTAGCTTAAGAGATTTGCACACTGCGCAGTGGTTTAGATATCACAAGTAGCCAGGGGCTTATGTGTTCTCCCCTTCCTGTCTTCAATTCTATTGTGGTCATAAGGAGATTGCAAGTTTTCACTGCACTTTTTCTCAGCTACAGTTTAGCACTCCATCTGGACTCTAAACAGTGATTTATCTTTGTGATGGTTTGTTGGAATAAGCTAGTTTGAAGTGGCTTTATTTTAGACACACTGTAGGTAAGACTAGCCATGGTTTGGATAAAAGGTCAAGCCGCAGTTAACAAAAAACTGAAACAAAAGCAGCTATGCTAGAGGAGGAAAGAGGAACACACAAGCCCAGGTTCATTGCAGTGCATTCCAGTAATGGTAGACCAAGAGTTACTTTGATGTTCAAAATAGTTCTGTATGTGGAATTTGTGTGACTGTTGAAGGAACTGGCATACGGAATGTGTAGAAACAGAACTGACACTTTTGAACATGCAAACACAAACATTACCTGTGGAATAAGATGCAGAAGAGCATCTCCAGAGAGAGTTCCTACAGCTAACCCTACAAATAGTTGTAATATGAGGGTATAGCATTCTTGACAAGAATTAAACAGAATAAGAGCTGTCCCAAACATCGAACCAACCGTAATAAGCAAAACCGCAAGAGTGCTATAGCCATATTCTGTAGAAGAAAAGGAGAAAACACATACACAGTTAACAAAAGTCTTTCAACTTTTTTTCAGTAAAATAACTTAAAGCTCTAGTTCCAAAAGCTTATTGCCAAGTCAAGTAAGAAAACCAACAAATCTTCATTTAGTGAAAGTAAGTCCCATTGATTTTTGTTTGTTTGCTTTGCACTGTGCTATAAATAAGTTGGGCTCAGAATTCTTCCATTGACAAAAGGGCTGTGCTCATGGTAGGTACCTTTGCTGATTTGGGGGATCTGACTCTTCTCTGTGCACCAAAGTTCCCACCCTTCAGCAGAGTCCCCCAGCCCTCCCCCAAGCCTTTTCAGGAAGTTGGAAGGCTGCCGTGTGAAGAAATCCAATCCAAATCTGAATCCAACCCAAATATGTTGAGGGTTTTGTGTTACCCAGGGTGCAAACCAAAGATGAGAACTAGCATTTTCGAGGAAGATTAGGGAAGACTATCATGCGTGGTGGGGATGCAAAGAAATGAAGCCAAGAGCAGGTGATCCAATGCCGGCACAGTGGAGGCAAAGCAGAGTTGGGAAGCCAGGATCCAGAGAAGCAGAATCGTGATTTTTAGGTATGCTGGGTGTTAGAGAATACAGGCCGGAGATAAATGTGATGCTTGGTTACTTATATGAGCAAACCAGCAGACAGAAAATGACAGTTTCAGTTCTCTTGTTATAATGATGCTCCTGAAGCACACTGGAATATAGGATGAGCTGCTCCCAAGCTATTACATGGATGCTGTCAAATGAAGGAAGGTAGGACATGCTTTAAAAGCTATGCAAATTCTTATTCTTGAACTATCCTGTTTTCCAAAAATGCTGTAGCCTATTCTGGGAACTAATAAACATGCTATATTAAACTGATGACAAAATAAGTCCTGCAAATTTTTGCACTGGATCAAAATTATGGCATTCTGTTATAATGCAGTAAGACAACATAACTCACTTTCCAGAGGGGTTGGTGGAGCTTTTGTTTGTTTGAACTCCATAAACTTGCAAGAACAGCTCAAAACTTGTTGAATGATTGCTGGACTCATTTGCTTGAAATGTTCCTTAGAAATTAATAGATGACTGTCATGTAAAAATATCTTCACAAGTTCATTTGCAGAGAAACAAGTCTGTGAGGCAGATGAGAAAGTTACAAAATACCAGAGTTTGAAGCTATAGAAAACAACCTTATGCTTTAAAAATGGCACTGGTGTATAGGAATGGGAGAGGAATTAATTCAGCCCTTGTTTGAATATGAACTTACACCTGATTTCACACTTTGAAAGCACTGTGCAAAATGAATCTAATAACCTTAGAATTTTGTGCTTCTGTGAATTTTGCAATGGACTTTTCCAGTCAAAAGTGCATATAAAAAGCACTTATATATTATATTTAGAGGCATTGCTTGCAAACTATTCATATTAAGTAGGCATGCACGATCCAGCACATTAAATTTAATGTGAACTTTAAACAAACTCAAAATTTGAAATAAACTGAACTTAAGAGCCAAGATTTCTCTGAGTTTGAGATGAACCTAATGGAAGCTTGGAAAAAAAATGAAAAGCTGCGAGAAACCGAAGGCAAAAATTTCTATGGTTGGTTTGGAATCCTGCACTCAGCAGACATTTGGACCCAATGGCCTTCTGGCCCCATCCAAGTCTATAGTTCTAGGATTCTAAACTATGACTTCTTTTCCTTTCCACAGTGTCCCCTGCTGAACCTCACTCCCTGCAGCAGATTCAAGTAAGCCTCTAAGTCTGGAGGCTTCCATTGCATTGAGCTCAGTGGTACTGGATTGCATCCTTCCTGTTTCACAGAAACTGAGCAGGAGATATTGGACTGAGAAATAGCAGTTGCACAACCCAGTCTTGAGATGTCTCAGAGATGGACAAAAGAAAGTCCACCCCCCCCCCCCAAATTCCTTGGTCGCTTGGAGCAGAGTTGTGCCTTGCAAGCGTGATGACTCAGAGCCACTGCAAGCAGAAATGGCGGTCTGGATTGTGCTTATTCTGCAGCAGCTATAACTCAGTGGTGTATTTCAATTTACTTAAGAATGATCAGTAAGGGAACAGGCCATTTATTATCTGAAGCAAGCAAGCAAGCTATGTACTGTTTGGTGAAAGGAATTAATGGAAAGTACTCAACTGATGCTTAGTATTTTGTAACATCAAGTAACATCCTCCCTTTTAAAATCATTCAGGGATCACCATGCAAATTATAATTCCTATATCGAAGTCAATGTACAAATTATTAATTACTTTATTTAATATTAGAATAAATCTGCAGTGGATACAATGGCTCTTACACTATATCAACTATACTCCCTTAAAGATTGATGACCTACTTGAGAGGGCTTTTATCTGAAGGAATGCATTTTTCGATCTTAATTTAATTAGCAGTAGTGAAAACCAGCACCATCTGTTGTCAATGACAAACAATGGCTTTCTGAAGTATGTGTGAAAAACAGAAGATAAAATTTAGCTACAACATAAAATAAATCACTCTCAGCAGTGATCACCTGAAATTAATATGCATAGCATTAATGAGACAATTAAGAAACCAGAATAAAGACTGATCAGAAAAGAAGTGCTTTCAGCATTTACATAGAAACATGGAAAACAGAGCGAGTCAGAAGGGGTCTCCCGGGCCATCTAGTCTGACCTCCAGCACCAGCCGGCTCCACTCACGACATGCCCACCATGTGCATGTCCAGTCTATCCTTGAACACCCACACCGATGGGGCCTCAACCACCTCCCAGGGAAGCCCATTCCACACCCTCGGGGTCCTGACTGCCAGGAAGTGCTTCCTGGCATCCAAACGGAACCTTGGCTCCCTGAGCTTTGCTCCGTTGGAGCACGTTCTGCCTTCCTCTGCAGGGGAGAACAGGTCTCTACCCATCTCCATGTGACATCCCCTCACATACCTGTATGTCGCCAACATATCCCCTCTGAGTCTCCTCTTCTCCAGGCTGAAGAGACCCAGTTCCCTCAGTCTCACCTCATACGGCATCCCCTGCAAACCGGCCACCAACCTTGTGGCCCTACGCTGCACTGACTCTAACCTGGCTATATCCTTCCTGTAATGAGGGGCCCAAAACTGAACACAATACTCCAGTTGCGGGCGCACTAGAGTCGTGTAGAGTGGTAGTAATACCTCTCTTGATCTAGAAGCCACACTTCTGGCTATGCAACCAAGGGTGGCGTTCACCCTCTTGACCACCGCATCACACTGCTGACTCATGTTTAGCCTGCAGTCAACCAGCACCCCGAGGTCCCTTTCACAAGTGCTGCTCTCCAGCCACTTGTCCCCTAACCTGTACTTATGACACCTATTCCTATGCCCCAAGTGCAAGACCTTGCACCTATCCACATTGAACGCCATCCTGTTGTCTCCTGCCCACTTCCATAGTCTGTCCAGATCTGGATTTACCACGCTGCATAGAACCATTTGAAGCTTTGTTTTGAGAGAAAGGGAGAGGGGACACAAGATCCCCACTGGATCAGGCTAGCAGTCCTTCTGGTCCAGCATTCTGCTCATGCAGGGGTCAACCAGCTGCCCACAGGATCCCACATGCAGGCTAGCATGCAAATAGTCACCTCCAGCCCAAGTAACTGGTACTCACAGGCACTCTGCCCCTGCCTCTGGAGGTGGCATATAGCCATCAGGGCCAGTAGCCATTGATGGCATCCTTCATGGATTTGCCCAGTAACCTTTTAAAGCCTTCCATTTTGGTGGCCTTCACTATCTTTCATGGAGGTGAATTCCATAGTTCAACTAGGTGCTATGTGCAGAAGTGCTTCCCTTAATCTGCCCCCAATATGTATAGAACAGAATGACAGTGGCAGCTTCATCTTCAGTGTTTTCCTAATTATGCCTTTTTTTCACAGCAGCCCTGTGCTGCTTCAACATTTTAACTGAGCTAAAATATTGGTCTTAGTATGGATTCCTCTCAACCCCACTGTTTGTGTCACCCTGTTGGGAGAGATTACTGTTTATTCCTATTCTCTGCTTTCTGTTCTTTCACCAGTTACTGATCCATAACAGGGTATTCCCTCTTATTCCATGAATGTGAAGTTTGCTCAGGCATCTTTGGGAAGGCCTTTTGGAAGTTCAGGTAAACAATGTCTACTGAATCACCCCATCTACCTGCAAAGTGACACTCAGAATTCGAAAGAGATAGAACAAAGAGATAGAACTTACCTTTGTTGAAGCCATACTGGTTTTTTTCCTTCTATTTTTAGCAGGAATTTATCTTCTATTTTCTTTTACCCCAGGCAGACACTAGGCTAAGAAGCCTGCAATTTCCTGGATCTGCCATGAATCCCTTTTAAAATTTGCATTACGTTGACCTCCAGTCCTTTGGTACAAAGGCTTCTCTTAAGGACATATTATTGTGAGAAGGTCAGTTTCATATTTGATTCTTTAAGAACTCTGGGATAGGCACCATCTGGGCACATTTTCTAAGGAAAGCCTTCTTTTCTCTAATAGCATCCTGATGCTGCTCTTTAACCATGCTAATTATCTCTTGGACTTTGTGCTAACCTTTCCTAGTTTGTGGTATTCATAGTATCTGACCTTCTATTATTGTGATTTTGAGTAATCAGCCAGCATTTTGAAGGGATTTAACCCTATGAGTCTCCCTTTCCATGTCCCTCATTTTAAAAAGTTCTCCTGCTTGGAAGGCAAATTAGATTGTGCTGGATCTCTTTGGCAATCTTCCGCTTAAATGTATATTAAATGTAATAGCACTGTGGAATAGCACTAATTGGAATCACTGTTTCCAATTAGTTATTGCACTAGGTCCTGAACAACCCCACCCCCAGGATTGCCTCTCTTCTTGTTGGTTCCATGACCAACCCCTGTAGGACACAGTCACTTAGGACATCAAGAATTTTACCTTCCTTGTTGGAACTAGAACCTTCATTCATTTGTAAACCAGTCAGAACCTATTGAAATAGGGTGGCATATAAAAATATAAATACATATATTTATTTATTTATTTATTTAGTCAACGTAGGGGTAGTTGAAGTTACCCATTATTGCAACACTGCCTAGTTTGGAGACCTTCATGTTTTATTTTCCATTTTAAGATCACTTGGAGCATCATCATCCAGGCAGTGATGGCATGTCACTAGAACTAAATTAGCCTTACACCCAGGTATTGCCACCTGCAGGGCTTCCGTGGAGAAGTCTGTACTTTCTAGGTGTTCAGGTCTGCTGGACTCTGAGTCCTCTCTGATGTACACAGCAACATCCTCCAGCATCCTTCCCTGTCCTTTGCATACACCGTGTACCCAGAGGTGCCCATATCCCTCCATATCTCCCCATTCCACCAGGTTCCATAATGCTCACTATATCAACATTCTCCTTTAAAACCAGGCACTCCACCACTCCTATTTTGGCTCAAAAGCTTCTAACATTTGCATGGAAACACTTACGCACAGGGACCTTCTCAGCCATCTTCTGTACATGGAATGGGGGCACCAACCTGCCTCTGACAGCAAAATGTTTTGCTCTAAAACAGATGGAATCAATTGGCCAAATTCATTTTCAGTCTGAGCCTTAATACTACAGTTTACATAGTCTGTGGGTCAAACTGTAGCCTCTGGGTTCCAAACTCCCCTCAGCCATAAAGCTTACTTAGTGACCATGCTCCAGCCATGATTTCTCAGCACAAAATACTAGCAAGATTGTTGTGAAGGTAAATGCAGCGAGGAGAACCACATAAGCTGCCTCAAGTTCTTTGCAGAGAGATGCGTGCAAAGATTAAGCTGTAGCAAAGCCGAGGGGACAGCAGTGGGGGAGTAATTGCATTTGTTGACCTTCCTATGTCATTTCCTGTTTGCAGATCTTACCAAAGCAGCAGGAAATAGAGCAGCAAGTGGCACTCTGAATGCTCCAATAACATAAGCACAAGCCCAAATCTGCACCTTGATTGCCAATGACATCCTTGCAATGTATGGCTGTCAATTCAATATCCCTACTTTTCATTTAAAAATCCCTACTTCTGCTTCTTTAAAATAATCTAAGATAAAGTAACTGTTGCTCATTTGAAACATGACTTTTCAGAAGCAAGCTGGTCCTCAGAACAAACTTATTTATAAGCAGACAAACGCCAAACCGTGAAGACATGCAGCGTTGTGTGCAGGTGTCTGCCTACCTGCTCCCACGCAACAGTGTCTCCTTTATCTTCATCATAACTGCTTCTGGCGTTCCCATTCTTTGGCCTTCTTGCAACAGACTCAGCGTCTCTCCCCGTTATGCCACAGCAAGCTTGACTGTTTGTGTTGCAATTCTTCCCAGCTCCCAGCATGCTCAGGAGTTGGTCTATAGCTAAGAGTTTGTTAGAAAACATGGCATCCATTCAGCTGAACCGATATGAAGGCGTGTGTTTCTTTTATAGCTCCTATAATGTTTCAGATGTGGTGACTGCAAACAGTCCTGCTTTGCAGGATCCCTTGTTTCTTGAGCACTGTCTTCTAACTGTTGCTTATTCATCATTAGAGTAGAAAAGGAGCATAGATTATGCTTTCCCTTTGAGCTCAGATGCGTGATGCTGCTGCCATGCAGAGTTGCATGCATCCAAGGACGCATGAAGAAAGCTCCACATGAGCTAGAAGGACATGCGTCTTGGATGCAACGAAATGCTGTAGGTGCCACATTCACTTGAAAAGGTCTGCTGTGACAGCAGCAATCACACCTAATTCCAGGGTGGGCTTGAACAAAGGGGGTTGGTGAACCTCCAGAGTAGGAGTCATGTAGGGAGGTAGTTGTACCTTATGGGGTCAATGCTAGGCTCTGTGCACAAGGGGAAAAAAGAGCCTTTCCCCACCCATTTCAGAGTGGAGGAAGTTGATTCTATCCTTTGACTCGGACCTACTGGTTCTCATGGGCTTGGAGTGGTGTGATGCCAAAGTACAGAAGAAAGTCAAGGTAGCTTCACCATCTTGCTGTCCTGTGTAGTTTGGTGGAAGAAGTCCCAGTGTGGTAATCGGTGGCCAGGATTAGAGAAAGTCAGGTTGCAGGTCCTGCCTGTACGTAAGCCCCTTCCCAAACCAAACTTCGTACTACAGTCAGCTAGAAAAGCTGCTGGTTGGCCGTAGGCCAATGTATTCTAATTACTGAAATGAAACATGATTGCCCCTGGCAAATTAAGCCACCTACAACCCATATGCATCGTGATTCATCACAGTGGTTGCAAAAGAAAAAGTGGAAAGTGGTTGAAAAAAAGTTGGAAAAAAAAGGAAGAAATTTGTCATTCCATTCTGCTTTCCATGTGAAAGCAGGCAAACCGGAATGCATTTTAAGAACAAAAGGTATTTGGCATGGGTGCACAAGGGTCGCAACTGATGTCAGATGGACAGTAGGAGCAGCACTTGTGCATGCTCACACTCACACACTCACATATTCTTCAACAGATTTAAACCTCCCTCTGTATCACTGTTGAGATCTAGGGATTGCTGCAGTCTTAAGCTTTCACTTGCCATCGTAGTGCCAGCAATGGGGCAGCTGCTGTCCTCTGATTGAGTTAAGAGTGGGTCTTCCATAACTAGCACAAGCGCTGACAAAGAGTAGAGACAAGGGCAGGGTTTCCCTAGGAAGGGCCGAGCTGGCACTAGGAAAGCTGCGTTCCTCTCTGCCGTGGTTCAGTTTATCAGCTGTGCTGCTGGGAAAAGCAGGCGGGTCTCTGTGGCCCCACGGGCCTCACCAGGAGTAGCTGAGGGGTGCAGCTGGCTCACAGGCCTGAGATGTTTCACCCCTGCTCCACTGAGTTTACTAGGGATGGAAGGGGAGTTTGTTCAGTCCACATGTTAATAGAAACTAACCTAAAATTGCACTTTCATATTTCATGAACTGAAATATAGTTTTCCTTCCAAATTTACACTCCTTTGATTTTTATGCAACTCTACAATCAAAAATACCTAGAAAATGCATTATGTTAGGAGCAATCACCATCAAAATTGCCATCATAATATAATCACCATTATATGCTTTTCAGCGCCAAGTCAAGACCTTTTTATTTGATCAATATTTTAGTGTTAATCAATTTTAATTGTATATTTATTTAATTTGTTTTAACCATATCATTTTTATACTCAGTTCGTGGTATAGCCAATTTATTTTGTTTGGGATTCATAATATACTATAAGCCATCCAGAGATGACAGTGATGGACAACCTATAAATCTCCCAAATAAATAAATAAAGAAATCCAACATTACATACGAAAATGTGCATTTCAAGAGGAATGCACAAAGAATGTGGCTGAAATTTTAAAGTGGTGAGAAAATGGAACAAACCAAACAGAATGAGAAACAGAAAGAGATTAAGATCAGCACTTTTCTACATGCCTTGTATTTGCAGCCATAATTACACTAATGACAACTATTCTAAGTCAAAAAGAACTATCAGAGAAGGAACTTTTAAGAGACTTTTGGAAATCTACCTCTTACATGGAGTTCAGTGGTGCTGTTCAGAGAACTGAAAATATATTTCATGAAGAATTCTGGTGAGGGCAAATGTGCTTCACCCAGGCAGATCCCTTGCAAAGCCAACTTCAGAAGGGCAGCAGCCAACCGAGGGATGGTGTGTTCATCAGCACCGTTGCGATGCAGTGTACCCACTTCCTTCTCCAGAACACCTACATGAAGACACTGAAAACAGAATAAAAGCATGAGTAATGAGGTTGCAGAAATGGACAGGAGTGTAAGTATGCTCACAATGGAAATGTAAAAGCTACATGGCTTACTCCCTTTCTGAAGGCTCCTGGATAAACTTAGCAGTCATGGAAGAGTCCCTTATGAATCAGTAACCAGTCACAGACAGAAAAGAAAGACTGAGAATAAATGGCAATTTTCCCCAAAGTAACCTGTGGGTTCCCACAGGGTTCTGTGTTAGGACTAATGCATACCAACCGATGGAATGCACTGCCACCAAATGCTATTCGGTGGGAGGTATAGGACAGATAAAAGGAAGTATCTTGTCACAAAGTGTATTGATAAATTATGGAATGCACTGCCACCAATGTTGGTGGTTTTAAAGGGGCATTGGACAAATGCAAGGAGGAGGAGACCTCCAGTGGCTACCAGCCTTGCATTCTGCCTCCTTTACCAGAGGCCGTGTGCCTGCACAGAACAGTTGCTAGGAGCTTGGGCAGGCAGAGGTCTTGCATCCATCCTGCTTTGGTTTGCCACTGTGTGTGTGGAACACCGGAGCCAACATGGCTTTTCTTATGTGCTTGAGCAATGAAGTCAGTGTTTGCAAATTTGAAGCAGGGCTTCTCCCAGCCTAGACGCCTAACTTAATATAAGTGAAAGTACAATACCCAATGGAGCACCTCTCCTAACATAAACCTTCTGGGATGCCATGATATACAACTAAGGCCCTCCTCCGGCTGTTTCTTCCAAAGGAGACTCAGAAAGCAGCCACACGGAGAGGGCCTTCTCCATGCTGGCCACTTGATTACAGAACCATCTTCCCAGTGAGGTCTGGCAGGCGTCAACACTGTCAGTTATTCAGCATCCGGCTAAGAAAGGCTACTGACAGCATATGATGCATCATTGCTTGTTATCAGGTCCAGAATCCTACTTTACATTGCTTTAAAGTTTTGTATGTTAAAAGATTTTATATTGTGTTTTTCTTGTCTAATATGTGTGGGTTGCAATTTCTGCAAATAGCTCACATGAACTGAACTTTGCTTATACAGCAGTACATCAGTGAGATGAAATAAATACTTGAAAAAACAAAATCAACTCGACGTTTGGGCTCAGTTACAGATTATTATTATTAATTATTAATTATAATTGCTGCCAAATAGCGGAAAGTGTCTGGGCAGCTTACAGCAACCCATTTAGGCTGTCTCCTGCCGTTTGCTATGCACTAAGAAAACCGCTGCTGTGACACCCCATAAGGTAACAGCATCCTTCGGGATTTGCAAGATACCCAGAGAACTACTTTAGCTAGGATTTTGCCCTTCCCCACATCTTCTGGTTATATATTCTTTCACTGGCCCATCCATGGAGTGAGGATGAAATGCTGCAGAAGCCTCAAATACTTTGTCCCTGGCTCTTCCGCATGATTTCTTTCAATTAGTTGGAAAGGAATCATAATAGTCCATTTAGTCTTCTGCTTGGCTCATAGAATTCTTGCGTTGTGTGGCCTGTTCAGAAGCAAAGGCTTCTTGTGTATTTCCTATGAAGTCTCCAGCAATTCTCCCTAAAGTTGAAATTATGACATTGATACTTCTTTATCTGTCAATGTGAGCTATTACTCACCCTTAAAAATAATCTTGGTTCCGTGAAAGCTTACTGTACATATTTTACTTAACAATTCAGTTAAAAAATAGAATTTATCTAAGCATGACCTACCAGATACATTTACAAATCAGCTATGCATAGAAGACTGGTTAAAGAATTTTATGTTAAATGGAAAGCCTATTATATAATCCTTTATTTAGCCATCAAGAGCATTACTGTTCAGTATTATGCATACAATGATCAAATTGATATAATTGCTTTATGAATTTAACTTTTTATTTTTATATTGTTTTATCTGGGAAAAAAGGAAAAATCAATTACTGGTAGGCTTGTGAAAATGTTACAAGGTGAATTATTATTTACTTGATACCTATATTAAAAGTATTATTAGGTCAAAATTGTAGTTATAAAATGGATAGAAGTAATAATAATTATTCACTCTCTGTATAATTTCCCACACTTAGCACTATATGTAATTTTTGTGTAAGATTCCTCAGTAACTTTTCTTTTTCATGTTAATTTTCCTTTCGTTTTTCCCCTTTTATCTATCTATCATCATCTTGGTTACTTGTCCCCTCTTACATTATTTTGTAGTAAAGCTGTCTGAACATCACATGGTGGGCATGTCGTGAGCGGAGTTGGCTGGAGCCGGGGGTCAGACTAGATGGCCCAGGAGACCCCTTCTGACTTGCTTTGTTTATATGTTTCTACGTTACTGGAATTAGGGTGGGGAAAAGTAGCTTAGCTCTCAAAAGTCTGGGTTTGAAGCCCTGTTTATTCAGCCATGTTTCTACTAAGTTAGGATTCTTACTTCTTCTTCTTTTTCTGATGGGCTTCCTATCTCAGCGGCATGACAAAGTTCTCTCCACATGAATCATGCTGTGACTACTGACTGGCTGGTGCAGGATGGGTGATAATTTAGTTCAGTTCATTTTGATAGAAAGTACCCCAGTTCACAAATCTAATCATATTTGGGATAGAAAGAACTGGAGTTCCACATGTTAATGACCATGGGAGAAAGTGAGACTGACAGTTTCATCAATTCCTAGAAAGAGATGGTTGAAATGATTGAAAGTGAATGTGAGGGTAAAAAAGAGCACTAGGAACTAAACTGCATGGTGCACACGCGTGTGCAAGGATGCTCATAATGAATAGATGGGTCTGGACAGTGTCTTGAAACAGTGTGAGGGAAAGGGTGAGGCTGAAAAAAAGAAAGCGAAAGAGCTTGCAGTGGTGGAAGGGCTTGGGAAAAAATATCTTCCGGCAAATTCTCTTTGATGTGAAAGTTTCCTTACAAAGAATATTTTCAAGGGGCTTAACAATAGCTGTCATGCGTTTCTTGATCTTTCAGGAGCTGTCTACATTTAAAATGCAATGGATATCTTATTTTCCTCAGACATATCCACAACATGCAAATTCTCTATGCTTAACTACTTTTTGGAGCTGGAGCTTAGAATATAACACAGTCTTCCAAAATCTTTTCTAATTGCTTCCTATGTCAAGAGAAGGGACACTAGGCAGCCCATCCTTCAAAATAAAATATTTTTCCAGTTGTTAAAAAGAACTGAATAAAATACAATATATATATTGTTTTATAGAATAATTTGTTTAAATCTGTTTATATGGAATAAGTTGTGCTCCTGAAGAATTAAGCCCAGTTTTCACAAGCAGAGTGGTACTTTGGGATGTGGCGTATCATTCCCTAGGCTTACTGATATCAGATGGCGTCACTGGGGCAGTTGGTGTGAGCTTGAGTGGACTCCGGGGGATGGTGGAGGACAGGAAGGCCTGGAGGAATGTTGTCCATGGGGTCACGATGGGTCAGACACGACTTCGCTACTAACAACAGCAACAACAACAATCTCCGAAATCAGATTTTTCAGCAGGCACTCACGTTGTTAGCATGATGCCATACAAGGTTTTGAAAGTAGTGATAAAATTAGCATTGTAAACTGTGGGTGTGGGTGTGAGGTGGGTTGATGGGGGAGAGGGAGAGGGAAAGGAAGAGGGAGAGACCTGCATTTGCACAAATAGAAAGTCACCATGAACAGAACTTGTTTATTTTTGGCCAGATTCTGCAATACTTCACAGCTTTCCATTCCTGACCATCCCTCACGGCTAAACAACTACCTAAAGCCGGTAAGTGTTTTGATAACACTGATGGCAAAAGTCCATCGCCTTTGCATTGCATTGTTGGTACTGAATGCCTGGCTCACCACATGTCCCTAAACCTTCACATTTGGATTGTCTCAGGTGGTAAGTTATGATCCATAACTGTGAAAAATAATCTGCCTAGCAAAGGCTGATCTATGCAAGATAATTCTTCATCGTTGCAGCATCATCTGGCTCACTGGTACATCACGTGACACTTTGTTTCCTCCTCCTCCTGCAGCCCTTATATCCTGGATTTTCCAAGACTGCTTCTGTCAAGATTGCTTGGGCATCTTGGGGTTTGCTTGCAGATCGCATGCTGTGCATGGGTCATTGCTGCAGCTTCATTATCCCCTGGGGACTGTGTGTGGAGCTTAAGTCTGTGTCTCTGTGGGGGAGGAAGTGGGCCTGTCCACCATTCCCTGCTATCCTTGACCCACAAATTTAGATCAGGTGGACAGTCACCTTGTTGCTACACACCTCTGCCGTGTGAGCAGCTTTGCCTTCCTTATGCCCATTTTCTTTCTCCCGTGCCATCATCTGGCTGCTTAGCAAAATGGCCCTTCGGCCATGCCACCCGTGAGAAAGAGTAAAGATTGGCCGCTGCTGTACAAGACTGGCCCCCACTTCCTTCTCCCTTCCTTCTTCCCGGCCCTTTTCTTTTGTGCAGCAATTTTTGACAGAGTGGGGTGGGCTCTCAGTTGTCATTTTTACACCTCCATGGCCTTACACGTGCACATTCTGCCATCCGAGACATAAAAGGAAGGGAAGCAGAAACGTCGTCCAAACTCCACAAAGCAACGTGGGGAGCAAACGCACGTTCCAGCGTTATGTGTCTGCATTCACCTGGCCCTTCAGTCTCCTCCTACGTCTCTCACAATTAGAAGCCTAAGCAATTTTGTCCAGCATGTGATCAGATTATAAAGATGGGGGTTACCGAGCTGTATTCTCTGCTGCTTTCCTCAATGGAGATGGCTGCATTTTGGAGAAATACTGCCTCACACAAGGATGGATCTCTCGCATCAACCCTCTTCTAGTCTAGTCAAACTTGTATGGATTTCACCTGCATTAAAACTATGGCGTTAAAAGAGAAATACGTGTGTTTTTCATATGCAGACACAATCCTAGTTTGAGCAACAGTTGGAATGTGCGGAGAAAAGATAATGCTTAGCCTTGACTTGTGCATTATCTCATTTTGCTTTTTACCTGGTTTTCAGATATTTTAAAATGCTTTTTTATTGCTTCCAGGACATCTTCCATTTCATTCCAAGAGAAATAATAGCTGTCTTCATTGTGCCTTAAATTGAGCATACTGTTCAGGAAAAATTTGTAATCCTTGTCCTTCAAACTGATTGTTGATGGACAGATGTCTTTTTGTTGAGTTATATAATACAAAAGAATGAGGGAAATCTTCTGGAATACTCCTTCATTAAGGAAGCTTTCTAAATCTCCTCCAGCAATTAATATGAGAGCATCTGATTCAGGGCACTATAAATAAGAAAAACAAAGAAGAATAAATTTCAGATAGGAGTCACCAAAAAGCTGTGATGAGTATCAGAATGGTACAAGTTAGACAATATGGGGGAGAGGGGAGGGCATCATTAATCATTTGTCCCACCGCAGGAATAGCATTTTGTCCAGTCTGGCCCAAAGTCTCATATCAAGGAGATGAACAGTGTGATTCTAATGCACAGATCTGCTGGCTGGAAGGGTTTGGGATGCCATGGAGGCCTCCCACTGCCAGGTGGCAGTGATCCATCCATCCCAAACCCCAGTTATGCCAATAAAAGCTTCCTGAGCATGAATCTCCCCCTAGAAGTAGGCAACAGAAGGCTCCCTGATGGAACTTAGGGATCAGGGTGGCAACTTTGGATTAATTGGATTTAGGTTCCTCTGTTCTCCACTGATGCACCTGGATCAAGGGCCCCAAACTACACCAGCATCAGGTTGACATAGACATTTGCCTTCCCACTGAAATTGCCAACAGGAAAGAGACTGGTGAAAAACTGAAACCAATGGAAAAGTGACCCCCCCTCACTTCCTGTCCTGGATGCTTGTGCTGCAGAGAGAGGAATGGATCCATGGTGGATGTCCCCACTGGGCCAGGTTGGGGTGGCACTGCCAGTCTCACAACAGGGATCACTGGGAAGGATCAGACCATGGCACACATTCCCAAAGGACCTGCTGTTCCTACTCATTTGTGTGTGTGTGTGTGTGTGTGTGTGTGTGTGTGTGTATGTGTGTGTTGAATGGGTGATGGACATGTGGCTAATTAGGGGATCAGTGCAGTGCCTTCGTGCATGTTCATAGGATTTTTAAAACACTATTCCTTGATATGTACCAAGACACACATGCCATCAGCAGGTCTGTGTCCTACCTGGGTAGAGGCTGAGAACTATTTGGGCATTTGCCAATCCTGAAAAGCATAGAAACAATGCCAGTATCCTAGTGTCCTTCTCTAGGCTTCCATATAAATCCCACAGTTGAAACAGATGCCATTGTTTATATGCTTGTTTGGATTTAAAACCTCCCAAAGTTAGAAAACTAAATAGTGAAAAAATGAAATACATGCTTGTAGGGTACCACACATCAATGAATATGCTATATAAATAAATGCATAAATAATAAGAACTAGTTCCTTCTCTTTTTTAATTGTGGCCTTGGAGACCAAATGCACGAAGAGGAAGCTTTTGCTGTTTCTAAATTATCTGTATAATTCTCTGCTCATCCCTTGACTCACTAACCAGATGACAGTCCTCTTGCATCTCATAAATCCTCTGAGGACACACAGTATTCTCCAGCAACATCCTCACAATTTCCCTTGATTGGTTCTGATGGTGTTCAGTGTAGTTGTTAGCTGCAATGATATGTAAAACATCCCCCAAATAGCTATAGCGGGAGTCATAGCTGTTGTCCTCCTTCATTTCTCCACCACGTTGTGTTCCAGCAGCATGTGGGCCAAACAGAAAAGCCAAAGATACTGTCCAAAGAATTAGACGCGGAGTCATTTCCTCTTCTCCTCGTAGCCTGCGTCTGCTTTGGGTGTTTGCAGTTTGCAGCTTCAACTTGATATCTGAAGAATTTATATAATAAAGGGTGGGAGGGGAAACCCCTTAATTAGCATGGCTGCAATATGTTTGGAAGGATTTATTAATTGGTTGGCTAAGCTGATTTGCAGTGACAAGCTGTTTCTGAACAACGGGGGGTCTGTCGGGAGTTTACCGCAGGGAAACAGCAGGAAACAAAATTGATCGTAGGCAGAACGGTTCTGTGCCATTATGCTAAAAGGTTGATCCAGAGGGATTCTTCTTCTTCCCAACCTCAGTAATAATAATAATAATAATAATAATAATAATAATATCTTTTAAATACCCTTCTCCTTTCTCATTAATAAATTGGATAATGATAAAGTTTAGTGACAAGTTGAGAAAAAGGTTGCTAGTTTCCCTTTCACTGTATAATGCAAAGATTAGGGAAATTCAATGAATATAAGTATACTTGTAATGGGATTTATACCAGTTTCCAGCCATGCTGTGTCATTATTATGCTAATTATTATTATAATTTATATAATACGCTACCTCAATAATATATCAGAGTGATGAACAATAACAGGCAAATCATCATAATTAAAAAAAACCTTTGCAATCACTTTGCCATTAAAATCAGGCCTGTTAGTCTGCAAAAGCTCTTTTCAAGAGAAATGGCTTCAGCAGGCACTCAGATGAAGCAATGCTGGGGCTACCGGAAAGTTTGGGCTTCCATAGAGAGGGGGGCAGTGCTTACAAGCAAGCTGCAGGTCCAAGAGCAGCTCTTCTGCTGATTCCAGAATTGAGCAAGCTGGGATGTGCAAAGGAGCCCTTCCAGATATCCTGGTCCAAATTTCAACAGGAAAACCTTAAACCTGGCCTGGTAGCAGTTAATGGCTCCACCTGAAGAGCCACTGAGGCAGGGAAGCCATCTGCACTTCTGTAACTGTGTTGAGGCATCCAAGGGGGGAGAACAGGTGGCACTCTAGATGCTAATGGAGTCCACTTTCCTTCACCCCCACCCCCCACCGCCAGTGGTCAGGGATTATGAGAGTTGCTGTCATTGCATTGTATTTGTTTCCTGCCTTTTTAACTCTTATGACAAACCCAAGGCAGCTCCCATAGCTCCATTTTATCCTCACATCAACAATGACCCTGTTTGGTAGCCTGGGCTGAGAGTCAGTGACTGGCTTAAAGTCACCTGGCGAACTCTATGGCCAAGTAGGGATTAGGACCCTGATCTCCCAAGTCCCCAGGGCCACAACCCCACACTGGCTCTCAACAGTTCATCAATATCTGCAAGGCCACAGATTCTGGGCACTGATCTAAGCCCTAGTCTACATGTGCAGGATGAAGCGGTAGAAGCAGAGCTGATAAAATAGATTGCACCACTTCAAACTGAAGCTGAAATTTCTATTTTTTAATGTTTCTCCATAGGAAGAAGTGCAGGAGAAAGGCAGTGGCGGGGGGGGGGGTTAGAGAGAGCTCCTTGAAAATAGCAAGCGAGCGTCCCAGCTCCTTGTCTGCTGTGCTGTGCCCCCACCCCAGAGGACACAGGGGGGCATTTTAAAGTGCTGCAGTCTCAAATCGTTCAGTCCATAATACTGCCCCCTTCCGCTGTGTGTGAAGACAAGGACTGCTTTTATAATTCTAGCCATGCCAATAATTCCATGATGCTGCAGCAACCTGTTTATTTATCTATCTATCACAATTATCCCCCTTTTCTTCCAAAGAATGCAAACATAGTCTTCCACCCCATTTTATCCTCCCAACATTCCTGTGAAGTAGGTTAGGCAGACAGTAAGGTCATCCTATTAGGGATTTAAGGCTTATGGATTTTATTCTAATATGTGGTATAGAAATATCACAAATAAATACATAAACTTCATGACTAAGTGGAAGATTTGGAACTGGATCTCTCTCTCTCTCTCTCTCTCTCTCTCTCTCTCTCTCTCTCTCTCTCTCTCCCTGGTCCAACATGCTAACATCCTCATCTAACTAGTCTCTATTATATTAACCATTAAGGTTTGTATTGACTGAAAAACCAGGACAGGGATTTCCTGGGTAATGAAGGAAAACTGGGAAAGTTCATCGGATGAAAAATGCCCTGTCCTTTCTCTGCCCTGCCTCCCTGAAAAGCCTTCCAGAGCTATTAAGGGGTCCCTCCTGCACAGTGTGGGAGGCAACAGGACAGGAAGGGGATCACCAAGCATTTTCTTGGAATCTAAACAACTAGCATTCACACTGCTGCCGAGTCCAACTGCGTACCTTTAGGAACAGTTCCTGTTTGGACTGACTTTGACTGGTTTGCTTGCTTTCTTTAGATTTCCATGAAGAAGCATCTAACTCTCCCAGACTTCTAACAATCCATTTAAGTAAGTCCACATGCTAGTTAAAATCCAAGCACCATTTTTTGACTTAAAGTTATTTATTTCATTTTTATACTACCCAGTAGCCAAAGGCTCTCTTTTGCTGAAAGAAACAACTTGCAATGATACCTTTCTGTCAAAGCATTTTCAAAACTTTACTCAAGTTCCTTCTTGCTGAAGCAAAGATATCCACACGGACATCCAATTTACTCTAAATGTATGACCAGATACCACACAGAACATCCTTCACAGTTTCATCTTCAGCCTCTATGAATCAAAAGACAAATCGCAAGTTTGGCCAAGTTAATCCAGCCAACGAATACAGGAATGTAAACGCAAGCATCCCTTTATTGGAAATGGCCCCTGGATAGCACATTCAAGCCTGTATACAGACCAGACCTGGTTCACTCTTCAAGAATGTAGGTTTCCTTGCATAATAAAGTTGTGCTAAGAGTCTGTACAAGCAGAGCGAGCTAATAATGCTTGCCAAAGCAGTGCCTGGCACACAGTCAGATGGAAAGTGAACACTGTGGATGTTGCAAGTTGCTTGTGATGGTTAAAAATAGATTTTTAGCTTAGGATGATACTAAGGAGCACATTTGCACCTCACAAACAATATTAGAAGGACCTCCCTCCCATCCTCACCTCCACCATTTCATTCTCTTTTCTTACCTTCGGTCAGGAGGCAAAAAAGGGAGGATTGTGTATCTTTGGCTCTGTGGCCTTTTGAATCCCACGAAGTATTTCACTGCTGGGAAGTCGAATGTTTTTAAAATTCCTTGTTGGTGCTCCGCAAGCCGGAGAGGATTAGTTTATTTCTGCTTTGAAAAGTTTCTGGTTGCTATGGAGAGAGTTGCTCTTGAGGTAACAATGGAGGTGGGTCGACATTTTTACAAATTCTTTTTGGCAGGTTCCAGAAATCACATTATAAAATATATTTTAAGTTTACATGCTATGCAAATATCTCCCAGTTACCACTGTCACAAAGCAGCAGGCGATGCATCTGTGAAACAATTGCTGAAGTCAAGTAATTCAAAGCAACACTCTCTCTGCCCTGAAGAGCTCTTTCAAAAGACATTCTGCTATGAATGAAGAAAGGGATTAAAATGTTTTCTTTGTCATTTTCAGAATATCTTGATTTTATTTTGTTAACACAAGAATAACTGCGGGAGAGCCTCTGTATCTTGTTTTGGACTCTCAGGGTTGATCCACCGCAAGGTGGAACTAAAATGTGGGGGGTGAGGATGACTATGTGCACCCCACCACTAAGGGATTGTACCAACTCCAGCATCTGTCAATTTGATAATACAAGGATTACCATGTCTCTCTCTGCTTCTGATTTTTGCCTCACAAGGACTGGTCTGTTCTGCTCAATGCTTGACAAAAAACAGGGCACATACAGGTATTATTTTTTGTTTCAGCAGTCCTTGATGGAAACTGATGTCTGCTTTTCACCTAGTGCAGCAGAGCTTGCAAATTTGTGACATACCGGGCCCCAAGGATTGAGTACAGATTCAGCATGGGTTGCAGCTGACCCATGGATTCCTATTCAAATGTAGTTTATCATGTTGTTTGAACCTAGCCACAGTAACAAACCAGGGATTGCAACCACAATCAACCCACAGTTTACAATCTAACAGCAAACCATTAGTTGTATTCATGGATAGTTCATTGTTAAATCATGGTTTAACATGGCTGGATTCAGACAGCACAATAATCTGTGTTCAACAACAACTCATGGTCCATTGATAACCTGCACTCAACAGATACTTGGCTGTGGATTATCATGTTATCTGAACCCACTTAATTATAATTAACATTATGGCTTCTGGATATCTTTTTCTCCTAATGGACCAACACAATTGCCTATGATTTGTATAGACCTGACTGCTTGGTTTTGCTAACCAGCACCTATAATGTAGAAAACATCACATCCACTTGGATATTCACCATCTGGAGAGGTAAATTCACAGGTTAAGAGTGGTTAGGCCTTATTAAGAGAAAGCAGCTTGTTTCACTTACAGATACTGCCATGAAGGGCAAGATTAATTTGAACTTGATCTGGGAGGCCTAGATTTAAATGTCACTTCTGCCAAGTGCCCACGCGCATAACCCTGCACAGCCTCTCTCTCCTCCTCTCTTTTAGTTCCCTCACAGTAAACATGGTAATCATACTGTTAATCTACTTTTCATGGTTTGGGAGGAGGCAAACATAATAAAGGTATTAAAGCACATTGTATATTCCAGACATTTGGCTTATTTTGAATAATTATTTACCTTGAAAGATCCCTTCCACCCACATATACCTAACACAAACTTAAAACCTCTTTAACAGTCCTACTTTGAGTGGATATGAAGCAGGGAAAGGGCTTTTTCAGTGGTGCCAAAAGGTTCCAGGCTTTGCTGGAACCTTCTTTAGGGACATTTTGATACAAGTGAAGACTTTTTAAAATTCCCCCATGTCTTTTAAAACTGTGAGAGCAAG